ACTACCAGAGGCCATAAGGAAAAGTTGAGTACCACAACCCATCNGTTTTTTTTTTTCACGACGCTAATTACTTTTATCTTTCCTTCCTAATTCAACTGATTTTCTAATCAACCAGCTTCGTCACATATGTGTGACGCATTCGCAGAGCCATTTGAGTGTGGTAGAATGTCGGTTTCTAAGGCGTAAATTTGACCATAATGGCCCGTTGATTGTTTATTCAGTGCTATTTAGACTAACAACTGCTGCGACGCATTTAGTTTGCCATTCTTTATGCTTTGAACAGAAAAAGCAATTGTTTAAACGCCAGTTTCTGAGCAGCGCACGTTATCCAAACAACTTGTCAGATCTGTGTAGTAACTTGGATTAATGAATGTTTGCTAATTGCGTGATTACCGCAATCCCTTGAGCTGAAGCAATGAAGTAGTAGTTATATTCTGGTGCTGTTTTTACAGACAGAATTGTAAGCCAAGGTGGCTAAGGCTAAGTTTTGCTTCTTGAAATAAGAAATTTAGTACTAATAATTAGGAGAATTTGAAAATGTTTAATAAAACTCAAACGGGTTAGTAAAAAAGTCCTCCCATGTGACTTATCTTGTCCCTTCATTTTTCCTACTGACTCTTATTTCCCACAGAGGTGTCAACCATTACTCGGAGAAATATCCGGGGGCAATTCAAAGGATGCGGCAATACAGAACTTCCCCCATACTTCGAACGTTTGTGCTAAGCACTGTGGGCAGTGGGTCGCTTGGGAATTGCCAATGATACACCCACTCGCTTCACGAACGTTGGAATGCGAAAATTATTCCTCATCACAAGTCAGTCCAAGAACGGCCAGCCCACAAATTGCAAAAAAGTTATTGCAGCGTGGTATGCCAGAAATGACAGGAATCATTTTGGTCATTTGATACTCAAGCAAGGGTGACTGACACTCCAGAAGTTGTCCGTGAATAGGCGTTGCTTTCTATTACGTGCTTTTAATAAGGATGATGTGTCGAGTACATCTATTATCGCACATTTCCATGTTGAATCCCGCTAGCTTAATTACACGCATGTAAAAGAGCTGAAAGGACTGGTAATATAAATGACAGGAGACTTTAAGGAAGTTTCGCCAAATCCTGCAAATGAATTTATTAATTATCACGACATTCAGATCTCATGAACATGGGCTGACTCCTGTCCTATGCAGGTGTCGTAGGCAGTCCTCTACATGTTAGCCAAATGAGAGTGGCATTTTTATCAAACTGGAACATCTGGCTCGAAAGTGGAGTCACTGAAAAACACTTCAATGATACCACACGCCATAGTGTGTGACCATGACCTCCAAGTTTAGACTCACGACTCGCGCATATGACATCTGCTGGGCCAGACACGCTTTATCAGCACGAGAGCTAACGGTGGTGGTGAGTGCTTGCTTACAGCAGCACGTGAAGCGTGATGAACTAAGTCTCCTCTAAATAAAGACGTCGTGTACACAATTCAAAGAAGACCGTACGTCTTTCCGCCTGTGTCGAACTCTGTTGTGGTGTGCTAACAGTCATGCCCGTAAACTTTCAGCTGTCACGTGGAATGCCTCATCTTGCATGCACGATGGACGCGCAATACGTTGTGGATTGGTGTACAAGAGATGAATCGGTGTATGTGTACGGCAAATCCATAATAGCACAATCGTTCGAGAATATTTGCGATTTTCAAGAGTGTATGCACATGGAGGCGTAAATCTGCTTGACGGGAATACAACAGGCAATTTCTTAACGCTATATTTAGCATAGCGTAGTTTGCTATGAAACCTTTATAAAATGTCCTTTCTTGCCTTAAAACCACTAAAGTTGTTTTAATAGGTCAAAGTGGGTGGAATAAAACGAACCCATTGCAGGTGGATCACACTTAATGCGGTCTTGTGAAACCGCCTTTTGTTGTTGTCTGAAAGTTGAAATAGCCCTTAACCACCGTTTCATTCTTCGTGTCAGGTGAATCTGACAGGAGCGTCTGTGATTGCGGTGCAGCAGGATTTTGAGAGACGCGTCTACGTTGACATGATTGATGCGAGGTGTGTTGTTACCACGAATTCAAAGGTGGTCACATTGGATTCGGCAACTCTTTCACTTGAGGAATTATCTACTCAGGA